TTATTAGTTATTATAATCAAGGCCGACGACATGGGGGGGGGGGGGGGGCAGAGGACGCGTGTCCTCCTCTTTTTTTCTAAAAGCCTTTTTTTTTTTTTTTTAAGAAAAATCTTGATATAGAGAACTTTTTTCATAAATTGATGATTGTGCCCCTCCACTTCAAAACCCGTGTCGTCGGCCCTAATAATGCGTGTTATTAGTTGATAGTTGTTAGTAATTAAACCATTTCTAACAATTTATATAAACTTAAATCTATATAATACAAACTTATCTGTAGGGACGACCGGGGCAAGATGGCTATGTTAACAATTTTTGTTGCTTGCATGAACATTTTAGTAGTCCTTAGCGATATTAGGTGTATTAAATGTCATTTTATTTTTTATTTTCTTCATTATTTGTATCACCCTTCTGATCGTATAACTACGTAATAGCTTAAAAATAACTTACGTAATAACTAAAAAATAACTTACGTCGTAAGTGAATTTAGAAAGATTAGGTGTACTACTAATTTTAGTACACTGTCCAAGGCAACAAATAGTACAATTGCAGTTGCAATCTTCGTGGTTAGTTCTTCTTAACTTTTTAACTTGATCACGACCATTTATCCTGGAAGTCTCCACAACTTTACTGATAGCTTTACCTATTGGTTTTAAATATATGATTGTCTCGCAGCTTCTGTATATTCCCGACGGATAACAACTTAGGTTCAGACTGAACCCAGGGTTTCTTCTTGTCCAAAGATAGACATTTTTTGTCTTTGTTAACACAGCAATAACATATCCATCTCCTATTTTCTAAACGAGATCTTGCTTTTTGCAGACTCATTTTGTACCAAAACGTTTTTATTTAGTATTTTATGTATTAGGTTATTCAAATTTTATAAATCAATGCCTAATTATTTAATTTTAACAAATTAACAGAAATAACTAAATTGTATCGTGTTTATGCCATTTTTTTGCTATCAGATCATTTGTAATTAGTCTCTAAATAAAAATAACTTCAATTGGAGGTACAAACTAGGTGGTTTACAAACAAGAAGAGAAATACCATTGAAAAACGCTCCCTGCATCCCCCTGGTCGAGGGAAAGTAATTTTTGAAAAAAAAAATATTTATTTTGAATTTCATCATAAATTCAAATTAGGTTTCCAATTTTATTAAAATATATTTTAACACTCAAAAGATTCGATCACATAAAGATTAGGACCCCCTAATTTTTTTAAAAAGGTTTTAAACATTTAGAAAAATGGTCAAAAACCTGCTGGAAAGAGTGGTTAAAAAAGTTTGAAGTAAAATTAACTTCAATTTAAAACCTCTAAAAAAGTGTTGGTTAGGTCATTTAAACATTTTTCCAAAACTTCATGCGCTTTTATATCGTTTTGTACATATACACACACTCTTCGGTTTCTACCAACACCTCAGTCTCTTTTAAGCAAGGTGTATCCATTGATTTTAGTTACTGACTCATTATGATAAAACCTAAAGCGCTACTCCGCTACCATTTAAATTTAGAAATACCATTTGAAGTTGTTTAAATAACAGATTTTTTCATTTACTGAAAATAAAGTGAAACAAAAATGAATTTTTTGAAACATCAAAAATTTTATGTGTTATGAAAATATCTTAGTTACGTACAATTTGATTTAAAAACTTTGAAGAAGCGACATTATTGCTTTATATAAAATGTCTGCTACTAACTCGATGTATTACATATATTATGTATACATATGCGTTAAGACTTTTCTATTTTCTCATTAAAGTAACCTTTATCTAAAATTGAACAATAACTTTTAAAAAATTACCCAACAATGCATGTAATGATAATGAACATTATTTTAAATGAAGTTTCGAAAGAACGCAACATGTTCTTTACATTTTACATGAAGTTTCGAAAGAACGCAACATGTTCTTTACATTTTAAATGAAGTTTCGAAAGAACGCAACATGTTCTTTACATTTTAAATGAAGTTTCGAAAGAACGCAACACGTTCTTTACATTTTAAATTCTTTCATGTAAATTAATGCTCGTTATCATTACTTTTTACTTTTTCAGTTTTTCAAAATATTTGTGTTTAACGTTAATTTTTTTTTATTTGCAATTTTTATTCTCAAAAACAATTTCAAGGAGTCAAGTGTCAAGAAATAGAAACCCAATCTGGAAAGCTCTTTGCAGACTTCATGCCCGTCATGCATTAGGAGCTCAGTATACACAGAAGAGTGTGTAAAAACAAATTTTTCAAAAACTGTCAACAGATAACTGTTTCTTGTTCCAGAACTTATTTTATAAATTTAAAAGTGTTGTAGTCAACTGAAATTTTATATACGCTGTCCTCCAAAACATTAGCAACCAAATAAAAAAATGCTTTTTTCTACTTTGAATTGTAATTACAGCAATTTTATTTTTTTAAATACAAAAAATGCTTAATATTACATATAAGAAAAAATATTTGTACATAATAAGACTACTTGAAAATGAATAAACTTGTTTTTTTTGTTTTTATTGGTATTTTAACGTAAAAACGTGGTTCTCCAAAACATTAGCAACTTTTCATAATTACTCACTAAAACTCACTGAAAATCAGCAACACAAGTGTGGAAATAATGCCTAAGGGAATTTTAGTGTTGTAGTTATTAGTGCTTAACCAATGAGAATCGACTAATTGTTAAATTTTGTCCAGAGATGAATATGGATTGTTGCAATTATTACAATATTAATTTAAGATCGCGTATATATGCTGTTTTGGATTATAATGGCAGGAAACAAGTATAATTTAGCTTTTCAAGAACGTGTTGTAAAAGATTACAGGAAAGGAGTCAAACAATAGGAAATCGCAACAAAATACTCCATTAACAAGTCAATTGTATGTAGAATAATCAAACGATTTAATAAAGGTAGTCCTTTAGAAGCAGAACATAAGGGCGGAAGACCACTTAAAACATGTCGTTTCACCGGTAGAAAAATTATTCGTCATGTTAAAAAAAATCTTTTTGACACACTAATGGTACTATTTAAAAACTGAAACTTTCTGTGTCTCAAAATACAGTTTGTAGACGGTTACAACCTTCAGGACTTTTGAGCTTTTAGAGCAGCGAAAAAACCTTTCATTTCTCAGAAGAATAGAAAAGCTAAAATTGAGTTTGCAAATTGTCATAGAGACTGGACTATAAATGATTGGTATAGAGTACTCTGGAGCGATGAATTAAAATACAACCTAAAGTTAAACACTTAGATTCTAAATACACAAGAGGAACATTCAAGCATGGTGGTGGAAAAGGTGCAATGGTTTGGGGTTGTTTTTCTGGTTTTAATGGAGTTGGACCTATTTACTGAATAAATGACATTATGGATCAGCATGTTTATCGTAATATTCTCAAAGAAAAAGTGATTCCTCATACTGATAATAATATGCCTTATTTATGGACATTTCAACAAGACAACAACCCCAAACACACCTCTAAACTCGTTAAAAAATGGTTTGAAACAAATCAAATTAAAGTAATGAAATGGCCAGCTCAATTACCTGATCTCAACCCAATTGAAAATTAATGGTACCAAGTTGAACTCTCTTGAAAACACAAAGGACCCTTCAAAAACGCCATTTAAATACCAATACAAACAAAAAATCACGTTTATTTATTTTCAAGTAGTCTTATTATGTTAAAATCTTTTTTCTTATAAGTAACATTAATAATAATACCCTTATTTGACTTAGTATAACCATATAAATGTTTTGAGTTTGCTTACTTATTTCAAATATCAAAAGATGCTGTGTGCGCCTTTACATACATTAAATTAATGTTATTGTTATAAATGATAACAACAATTGCTTTTACAACAATAAAACAAGTAAACAAGTTTGAAGTTTTACAATTTTTACAAAATATGTTATAATTCCTCATAAAATAATTATTTAACCTTAATACAATGGAATTAATGCTTGTTATCATTACTTTTTACTTTTTCAGTTTTTCAAAATATTTGTGTTTAACGTTAAAATTAACGTGTTTAATTTGTTTCAAACTCTTTTTTATTTACCAAAGGGGTAGCATTTGTATACTATTACTTAGAATAATCATATTTTTTTTGAGTAGAAAAGTATTATCCGATAGCTTTTTACAATTTACATTAGATAATAAATTAAATTTAGGTTTTTTTCTTTATTCTTTACTTTGATATTTCGTCGGGGATAGTGCAAAACTGCGTAACTAGGATTGGATAATACCGCGTATCTTCAGTACAGTTTTTTTACTGGAGAAGGTTAAAACTTTATATATTTTTTTATTTCAACAGATTTTGGGTTCATTTTAGTGTAAAAAGTTTTATTCATGTTTTTTGTAATGTTAATAATAGATATTTGCTGTTAAAATTATTAATATCCAAATAAAGTAACCAATGCTAGTTACGCGGATTTGCACTATCCCCGACGATTTATGATAAATACCAAAAGGGCTTGTTACTATCAACATTATTTAATCGGTCTCTTTTTCTCAAAAGAAACTTTCTACTTTCACATCGTGTAAATGTTTTCGATTTGTAAATACTTTATTTTTATGTTAATTATTATTTTTCATCTTGTTTGTTTAAAACTTAAAATCTTTATCACAATACCAGATCACTTTTGATGCGGTTGACATGGTTGAGTTGTTTATTAAAAATACCATCAGTCGTCAAACAATTAAAACCTTTTTTATTTCCTCATTTTCATGTTGCATATTTTTTTCAGTCGATTTACAAAATTTATTAAGATCATGTAATATCAAAATGAACTATCTTCTCAACTTTCTTTATTTTGAGCTGAAATAGCGGTAATATTCTTGTTTCTTTTGGTTCCAAAGACTTATGAAATAAGCTACTAAATAGTTTTAAAAAACCAAATTTTGAATTAAATTCTATCAAAAAAATGAAAAAAAAAAATGAAAAAGTTAGCATTTGATGATAATTATTTAGAATAAACAATGAATATGACAAAAATATAACTTTAGATTATATCTAACCTAAACCTAACGGCAAAAATCTAATAACTGGTAAAAAAAATCAAGCATAACAATATTATTGGACACGGTAATGACAAGATAAGTTTAATCGATACTGTTTAAAGTCTCAACGCAAAACTTTGATCGGAATCAAGTGATCCAATGTACTTCATCAAGCCTATTTGATACGGGCTGAACGTATCATTAAATGATAGCCACACTTAACTTATAGGATGGCGTAAATGTGAACCGTGTGTGACTATGGTATTTATACCACTCAGGTGGTAGCCACATATGGTCTACATTTGTCTATAATGCTTATACCACTAAATTATTATAAATAGCATAACCATACATGGCCACATCTGCATCACCTCATAAATCAATTGTGGTTATACACGTGGCGCGCATCAAACTTTCTTGTTGGTTATTTAGTGTGAAACTAAATTCAAAATAAGAACCAAAAATAAAAAAAAATCAATAATTTGAATTAAAAAAAAATTATTTTTTTTATAAACAAAGTATTTACAAATTATATACATACTTTACATAACAACAGCAAAAGAGATGTTTGAGAAAATACGTGAATAAATGTTTATTTTGTAAAACAATAATGTTGGCCAACTACTAAGGAATGCGAATAGATGAAATATACTTGCTTTCCTATAAAAAAAAATAAAAATAAAGAATTAAGAATTAAGTGTGTTACATTCTAACAAAAGTGTTATACATTCTAAAAGTAAAGTGGTCTTTCGGAAATTAACACATGCACTTTCTTTAAGGGGGAAAAAAAAAAGTGACACTTTTTTAATACAATGAAATTTCACCAGTTAATGTATGGCGACAACTAGAAATAGTCAGACGGGGGTACATTCATTAACTGATCATAGGTACATATATCAATATCGTTTCATTACACAGATTAACTAAAAGTAGTTTTTATGTGTGTGAAAAAAAAAAAAAAAATACGGAATTTTTTTTTCTTTAAAACGTTTTACTCAAAACTGGCAAAGTAAACCAAAATAAAGATTTATTTTTTCAGCGTCTCATTTTAATAACTTTAGACAACAACAAAGGATATAAGAGAAAATACACGAATAAATGTTTATTGCATAAAACAACCATTTAGCCAACTACTAAAGAATGCGAACAAATGAAATAAATTAACATCCTTAAAAAAAAAAAAAATTTAAATGTGTCATTTATTCTAATCACTTCAATTTTTGAAATTAACCCAGACACTTTTTTTTCAAAGAGAAGAATTAAAAAACGATATTTAGCGATAAAACGAAGTTTTTTTGTTTAAAGTTAAACGTTTAAGTGACAACTTAAAAAATTTTTTAACGCATATACAAGCCATATATTTCAGTGATAACAAAATAGTGCAAAATTTCTTTGATTGTAATTCTAAATTTTTCCAAGTTATTTCAGCAACAAAATATAGCAACCACATTTTTTTATTTTCGTTTTATTTAATGTTAAACAGTTTCTATGTTTAATTTCTTTTCAACCACACTTGCGTAGTTTGACAGGTTTCCATAATGTCATTTTACTCAAGTATTATGAAAAAAGTTAAAGCAACTTTTTACAACTTGATGCCCTTCCGAGCGTAAAACTTTTCCGAGAATCTGATTTGCGGATCATGATTAATATTTTTATAATACCATTTGGAAGACTCGTATACATGGCTAAATTGGGGGTTTTGTATCAACTGCCCTAATATAGGACCAGCCTAATGCCAAGGATCAAAATTTCCATTTAAAAAAATACAATTCATTATACTTTTAAAAAGAATTGGTTGTTGCTTGATCCTAAATCAAGCCAAAAACCTTAATGGTACAAAAATGTTATTTGAAAAAACAGAGTTTATCTCAACGAATAGAGTTTTCAAAAGGTAAGGCTTTTACTCTACCAGAGTAAAAGTTTTTAATAACTAGTCAAGTAACCTTACCAATTAGTAGAGTTGAATGTCTATTTTTTTCATAGATTGTTGACAAAAAATTTTTGCTAATAACTTTTCAAAATAAATACGTGAAAAATAACAACATTGAAATTCAAGAGTGCATAAAAAATACAACTTATTAAAAATTCATTTGTTTTGCATTACTTTTGTACCCTAGTTAAAAAACAAGACTAATATTTACGGAAATAAAACAAGTATGCGATCATAAGCACCATGCTATCATAGGCGCCTTTCCAATTTTTAAAATGCTTTTCCAACAGGGGTTTTCTATGCCCCTAAAAAAGGTCTTTAGTAATTTTATCGGAGTAACTAAAAAAAACCAAGTCTGAACTTTCAAAACAGACATCTTATGAACAGTCTTTAAAATAAGAACAACACTGTTATTCTCATTTTTAATGATCACATAGAAAGACTATGCAAATTATAATTAACATTCGAGTTTACACTGGTATAAGAGTTATCTATAATTACATCATGAAATTGTGTTTCCATTGTGTAATTTCTTTGTAATTGGTTTATATTTTTTAAATAACTTCAAAAATTCCAAAGTAAACGAGCTTGTCATGAGAATCTGATGAGAGAATTTGAATATAGCACATAATCAAATATTAGACAGTTACAAGCTTCATTGAAAATATTATGCTAAACAAATCTTTCCGAATCACGCACGTTTACAATGTCTCAAAATAGTCAAAATAGTTTTTAATTAATGGCTTAATTCTTTATAAACACCTGTCAGTGGTTGACATTTTCTTTTACAATCATCGGACAATCTTTTGTTATAAACTATTATAAAATTTTTGAGAATACTTTGGTAGCAACACTCTCTGCAGACCATCATGTTTGTGATAAACTCAGCAAAAAATCTTATCTACTTACTAAAATTTTCCAAAATCGATTTCATAATATACTGGGGAGATTGTTACCTAAATAACCAGGTACTGAAATAATCAAGGCAAAAAGTCACTAACCAAATTTTCTATTTACGGCAATAGCTCCAGTTCCGAGCTCTTATTTTTTATTTCTTGTTTAGAAAGTAAAAAAAAATTAAGATTGCAACGAGTTGTACTAAGTTGTAAAGCTTATGCTATCAAAAGTCAGGGCCACCGAGAGCTGTCACGTTGCCTGGGACAGCAACCCTGATTGGCGCCCTTATTTAAGGGCCGGCGAAGTCGACTTTTTAAGACTCGAATTTATATGAAAGACGATTTTGGACTTCTAAACCAAATTTAACTGAAAGCCGAATTAGGATTTAAAAACACATTTAATTAAAAAAGAAATTTTTTAAGAACTTTTATAAGTTTTATAAAAATTTTGTATTTGTTTTAAATGTTCCGAGAAAACCTAACGGTATTACCACGGAGTACATCAGAAAAGTATTAACCTAGAAAGTACAAACCCCTTTCCTTACTGATGCACAATAGGCGTGTTCAAAAATTAGGTCATGGAAAAATTTTCACTAACAAATAGGCAATTTTTTGCGGACTATAATAAAGAAATAAAAACTGTTTTTTGTTGTTTTTTTTAATTACTTTTTTACCTCGCGATGGCCTCATAAAATTTTCAAAAAAAACTTTTTTTTATAAATTGCATAATATACCGGGAAAAAAATAAAAAACTGGGTACTATTTTAACAAATGTTTATGTTATTTAAAAGACATATTCCAAAAGTTATCATTTTAGGTTCATTTTCAGGCTTTGCGCCAGACCTGTTACAATTGTTGACACTTTATCGGTTGTAACCAATCAATCAATGAAATCCAGGTTTTTCGGCGGTGATGAAAATAGAACTCTGATTTTTTTTTATGTATGCTTAAATAATTTAAAGAAATGAAAAAATCAGCAGTGTATTTTGAACAGTTTAAAAAAAAAGAAAGAGAGGGGGGGGCAGCTTTGGTCTTTGAGGAAAGCACGGTCCAGTTGTTTTCGAATTTGAGCAGTTTTGCAGCTTATGCTCAGACTTAACATGACACACTGTTTACTGTACCAGCTTTACAACCCTCTCGCTACAATCATTAGTGACAGCCAAGTTTTTGACGTACGACTGGTAAAGTTTTTGACGTACGACTCAAAGTAATCAAAACCGATATTCCAGGAGCTAGCTAGATAAATCATTTTTGGACTTTGCTTGGTCATGGCCTAAAATCTCACATTAGCCATTAATCAGCGGTGATGAAGTCAACCAGTTCTGGCCAGTTGTTAAGTACAGACATGTCTTTTGTTTTGGGTAAGAAACCTTTATTGTTATGTTTATCCATGTCATAGTCATTTGGTATCGGTATGTTGTAGAGTTTTTTGGTGATCATCTCCTTTTCTTGTTCAGTGATTGAATCATCTGAATTTGCCAGCACAATGGGAACAACAGTTGGATCCAGGTACAAGCTATGGTTTCCCCATGATTTGAACACTGCACTTGCAGCCGGTTCATCCTCAACATACCTGGACCTCTTTGAAACAAAATTAAAGACCTGGTAAAGAAAAAATAATACATTTTTGTAATTTTATAATTATATAGTTTTAATGCGTGAAATTTAGTAATATTCAATTTATATTTAAACTTAATATTTATTTTTTGTTTGAATACCTGTAACGGAGCAATGCCTGGTTTCTCATTAGTCAGAAACTTGGGTGTATAGAAGATAGCAATAAACTTGCCCATCCTGGTGATGAGAGCTGAATCCAGATCTATATGCTTTTGCATAGAATTTTCAAGAAGAATTTTCAGTAACTAAATACGCTTGGTCATGAATCTGGTATGGTGGATAGCATCAGGTTTCTTAAATTTGCAGATATAACTTGGGTCCAGGTACATAAGACATAACTCTGCTAGCTCATGGTAGTAATCTCTTTTCTTACCAGTCTAATATTTTATTATGTTTTTATTGAATGTTTCTTAAATCTAGATACTATAACCCCATGAAAAAAATGCTATTAAAAATGATTATATAGTTTTAATAAATGTTTGCTTACAATAACTTTAAACTAGCCTCTGAGTTTTTGAAAGCTTTGGTTTTTACTATCTCCATAAGGTAATTCTTTGTTTCAATGCCTTGAGCTTCTAGTCAAGTTCCACAAACAGATTTCCATTATCAATGGAATGCCATTGTTTATGAAACAATTTAAAGAGAGGATTTTCAGGACCAACAGTGACCTTGCAACCAATAGCATTTTCGAAATGAGGTGGACCTCTTCTACGCGGTAACGGAAGGCCAACATCAGTAAGGGCTTGCCAAGGTCAGATCTTAGTCTTAAAAGTACATAGCTTTCATTTTATACTTACCGCAGTTAAATCATGATCAATATTTATGTAGCCTTACATTATTGCTATAGTACTTTAAAAATTCAAACAACAAAGTTAGTAACAAGATTTTAAAACTATTTTTTTATTTTTGTTCACCTGTATATAGTTCCACTCAGTTTGCAAGTATTGTTGCTGGTAGTATTAAAGCATATAGAGTGCAAATTGTCGGCTATGTTTATCTCCTTCTAAAGGTCACTAATTGTATTAAACTCGATTAGGCCATTTCCAGAGTCAATGTCTGGTGCACCTGGCAGACAATATTTATCATCAAAACTTAGAAGTACACAGATCCTGTTATTCACTTTGTCAAAGTGTTCCGGTATTAAATCCTTTAATATTTTGCCATCAAAATGTAATTCAAGCTTGCCATCCTTGTGGGTGATGTGATACTGCAATAAT